TTTTTTTTATAACAACATGTGGAAGAGGAATGGCACAGTGGCCCTTGTGATGGTGCATCAAGGTGGGAAGGTGCAGCCGGCAAACAAACGCAGAAGGCGAGAGTTATTTGTATAAAACTATGGTACTGCTGCAACTGTTTTTGAATTATCTTCAGCATAATTTTACTTGCATGTGATATTAATGATATTGTTCAATAATTTCCACACTGTTAGATCACCTTTCTTTGGAATGGGCACAAATATGGGATCTCTTTCAGTTGGTTGACACAGACGAGTGAGCGCTTCCAGCCTTGCATCTGTTTATTGAAATATCTCAATTGATATTCCATCAATTCCTGGAGCCTCGTTTTTCACCAATGTCTTCAGTGCAGCTTGGACTCCTTCCTTCAGTACCATCAGTTCTTAATCATATGCTGTCTCCCAATGGTTGAACATTGGCCAGTTCTTTTGGTGCAGGGACTCTCTCTGTTTTCCTTCCATCTTCTTTTGATTCTTCCTGCATTGTTCAATTTTTTGCCCAGAGAATTCTTCAGTATTGCAACTCAAGGCTTGAGTTTTTTTTCTTCAGTTCTTTCAGCTTGAGAAATGCTGAGCATGTTTTTCCCTTTTGGTTTTCTAACTCCAGGTCTTTGCACGTCATACTACTTTACTTTGTCTTCTCAAGCTGCCCTTTGAGATCTGTTCAGCTCTTCTACTTCATCATTTCTTCCATTTGCTTTAGCTACTCTACATTCAAGAACAATTTTCAGAGTCTCTTCTGACATCCAGTTTGGTCTCTTTTTTTTTCTGTCTTTTTAATGACCTTCTGCTTTCTTCATGTATGATGTCCTTGATGTCATCCCATAGCTTGTCTGGTCTTTGTTCATTAGTGTTCAGTGCGTCAAATCTTTTCTTGAGATGGTCTCTAAATTCAGGTGGGATACATTCAAGGTCATACTTTGGCTCTCGTCAACTTGTTTTAATTTTCTTCAGCTTCAACTTGAATATTTTGAGTGCCTCCCAACCTGAGGTACTCATCTTCTGGCACTGTATCAGACAGTGTTCCACTGCTATCCATAAAGTTTTCACTGACCAATTTTTTCAGAAGTAAATCATCAGGTCCTTCTTCTTAGTCTGTCTTAGTCTGGAAGCTCTGCTGAAACCTGTCCAACATGGGTGACCCTGCTTGTATTTGAAATACTGGTGGTATAGCTTCCAGCATCACAGCAACACGCAAGCCAACACATACAACAAACTGACAGACAAGTGTCCACAGATGTTAGTATTTCCCAGGGTTCCATACTTATCAGTCTTCCACACTGCTTGCACACATCTGATCATGTTATTATCCTGCAGGGTAACCTCCAGGGATTCCTCATAGCCTAGAAGACCAAGTCCATAGGAGGTTAGAGTAGAAATGGAGTCAGAGCAATATGGATTGCATGCAGGTCAATGTAGATTCTGCCCAACTATTGCCATCTTCTTCAACTGGAAGACAATCTAGTGAGAACTTGGGAACTGAGGTCACAAACTTACTCCAACCTATTTTTCTAGCCTCCTTTCTTTTCCAGCCCCCAATTCAAGTAGGATTTGCTCTATCTTCAAAAAATGACTTTCTGTTCTCCAAAAAATCCAAGTGGTTTCAGGACTCGATGTCTTTGCATATACTGTTCCCTTCATAGAGAAAGCCTTTGCTCTTCTTTATTATCTTCAAATACATACCTATTCCTCTAGGCCCAGCTTAAATGGCAACCCAAACAAAAGTGAACAGTGCTGATGCCTTTTGATAGGCGTCTCATCCCTACAAAAATATGAACTTGGATTTGAAATAGCATAGAATATCAGGGCTGGAACCAAACCTGGTGCTTATCAAGTCCTAGTTCAATCCCTTCAAATTATAGAGGAGGAAACTGAGGCATCAAAAGACTGAATGGTCAGTCCAAGTCCTGAAGCTCATTGGGGGATAGTACCAGGTATTAATGCTCCTAATACAGTGCATTTTGTCTTATACTTCATTTTCTTTTCAATTAAAGGAATACATTTATCAAAAATTTGCTATATACCTACATTTGATCATGTCAGCCCTTCCTTAAAACACTTCTATGGCTCCTTTTATTCTTATGTAATAGGGTACTTAAGTTTCTTCATTGCCCAACCTCTGCTTTCCATTCCAACTTTACTCCTTGCTACTGCCCCCTTCAAATTCAACCTTCCAACCATTTTGAACTAGTTGAGGTAGTATAATGTAGTTGACAAGCGCAAGGACTTCAGAGTCAGAAACTTGGGTTTGAACCAGGTCTCTACCTCTTAACTTAGCTATATGACCTTTAGGGAAAATTAATTCATCTTTCAAAGCCTCAGTTTCCTCATCTGTGAAATGAGGATAACAATACCTGTCCCCTACGATTGTTGCTAGGATTACCTGACTGTTTAAAAAGCACTTAGCACATTGCCTGACATGTAGCAAGTACTTCATTAGTGGTAATGTTTTAAATGATGATGATTACTTTCCTCAAGAAGCTTCCTTGACCTCCCAAGATTGTGGAAGGTGACTACCCGTAGCATCCGGTACTTATAACGGTGTAAATTCTTGTTGCTTGTCTCTGCCATTGAGCTCCTTGACAGCATGACCATTGTGTTTTGTTCAGCTTAGTATCTCCAATACATAACACATGGTTGGCACTCAGGAAGTGTTTGTCAGTTGAAAAGAAGAGGAGAGGTAAAGCAATAGACAAGGTGCTGTGAGGGACATAAATATGCCAAAGACAAAGTCCCTGCACTCCAGATGTACAGCCCTGAGCTGGGGAGACAAATTTGCAGATTGCTATATTTGACTTTTCTATAAGGATAAAGTATGACACACATTTTAGAAGGAGAAGTAGAAAAAAAAACCTTAAGTTTTTATTTTTCCCTTATTGTGAGATATATCATACATACGGGAATGCACAAAGCTAAACACGTACCTTAAAAAAACCAAACCTGTTGTCATCGAGTCGGTTCCGACTCATAGCGACCCTATATGACAGGGTAGAACTGCCCCATAGTTTCCAAGGAGCAGCTGGTGGATTTGAACTGCCGACCTTGTGGTTAGCAGTCAAGCTCTTAACCACTGCACTACCAGGGCTCCGAACATGTACAGGTTGAGGAATTATAAAATGAACACCTGCGTAACCACCACACAGGTCAAGAAACAAAAGAGAATCACAGAAGCTCCCCCACATGTCTCTTCCCATCACATCTTCCGTCCTCTCTCCAAGAAGTAACCACTTTCGTGGTGTTCATTTCCTTGCATCTCTTTATGCTTTTACTCCCTATGTATGGATCCTTAACCAATATAGTTTAGGTTTGCTGGTTTGGGGACTTTATGTAAATGGAATCATACTGTATGCATATTCTTCTCAGACTTGCTTCTTTCCCTTAACTTTGTGAGATTAATCCATGCTGTTGAATGTAGTTTTAGTTTTTTTTTTTTTCCATTACTGTACCCAATGCTGTCAAGTCAATTCTGAGTTATCTAGTGCTGCTGTAACAGAAATACCACAAGTGGGTGGCTTTAACAAACAGAAATGTATTTTCTCACTGTTTAACCAAAACCAAAACCAAACCCTTTGCTGTCGAGTCAATTCCGACTCATAGCAACCCTATAGGATGGAGTAGAACTGCCCCATAGAGTTTCCAAGGAGCACCTGGTGGATTTGAACTGCTAACCTTTTGGTTAGCAGCTGTAGTAGCATAGTAGCACTTAACCACTACGCCACCAGGGTTTCCTGTTTAGAAGACTGTAAGTCCGAATTCAGGACACCAGCTCTAGGGGAAGGCTCTCTGTGTTCGCTAGGAGGGAAGGTCCTTGGCAATCACGTGCCATGTATCTTTCCCTCCGTGCTTGCTTGCTTGCTTAATCTGCTGTTTTATATCTCAAAAGAGATTGACTTAAAACACTCTCTACACTAATATTACCTCATTAACAAAAAATAAAACCCAGTCTTAAATGGAATTAAAACCACAGGTTATAGAGTTAGGATTTACAACACATATTTTTGGAGGACACAGTTCAATCCATAACAACGACTATGCGACAATTTTATTTATCCATCGACTGCTGATGGGCATTTAGTGTTTTTCCAGTTTGGGGTTATTACAAACAATGCTTCTATGAACATTGTCGTATTTATTTTCTGGGGCACTTAAGTGTGTAAGATTCTTTTATGTTTGAGAATTCCATTTTCCTCTGGAATCAATGAAGAGCCAGCCTAGGGGTTTTGAAATTGAAACTAGTTTGCACAAAGGAGATTCAGGTAGGTAGACAAGCGTTGAAGAAACCATCCAGTGTTTCTCAAAATGTGATCCAAGACGACCTGCATCAAAATCATCTGGGGAATTTGTGAAGTATGCAGATTTCCAGGCCCAGCCCAAACCTATCAAATGAGAACCGCTGGAGGTAAGGTCTGGAAAGCTGCATTTCAGTAAGCTCCCCCACCTCCCCTGGCTTGATGTGGCTCACCAGGCCTCTACCTTCTGTAGATGCTACACATGTGGTGGAACATACTAAGTGGTCAGCGCAGTGTTAGGAAATTTTGAGAGGGTTAGTGCCTTCATCCCCAGAAATCAGCTCCCCTTCCTACTTCCTCTGTTGTTGGTTCCTTACCTTGGTGTATCAATCAACACTGTAATCTCCAAGCAAACTCCACCTCAGCACACTTGCAAGTTGAGGTCCTAGAAACTTTTGTTTTCCCCTCCCCAGCCCCTGGCCCTGTTCTCACTCCTGCTCCAAATGCTTGTGAATACTCAGAAGTCTCATTTGAAGTAAACCAAAATTTTCCCATGACCCCTAACAATACTTTACCTGAACAGGGCACCTAATTTTTAAACTACGTCTCACTTTTTTGTTTGGCTTTTTAAGGGTCTTATGTTTAACTGTGCGGAGCAAATGATAAGGAGCTAATCTATTTTCCTTTATTAAAAATGATCCTTTTTGCGAACACCTCTTAAGACTAACTTTCTCTCTTTTCCTTCAAATATAGATAAACGCAGAGGGAACACCTGAGGAAGTTTTTCTTCAAGTCTGCACAGCAATTGACTCTATTTTCTGAAGGCAAAGATGCATGTATGTTAAAGAGAATGGAGACAGAGAAACATATTAAAGGTTCATCCTTAATGCAGTATGTTTCAAGTTAAACCTTTTGTGTCCTCTCAAATCCTAACATTGCTGTTTGCTTCCCAGCTTGAGCTGAGAGGTGTCTGGAAATCATGCATGGTGTATTTGTATTATCAAACCTTTTCTTCATAATTCAGACAGCTGTCTGCACTCACAGCACGCTCACTTTTCTATCATGCAATTCGCTGAGAGCTAAGTAGCATGTGAACAGCAGTGCAGTGCCAGTCTGTGTCAGTTGTGCCCCCAGGACATGCTGGAGTCTGAGCATCTGGTTCTACTCTCATCCAACAGAGTTAGCATCTCTAACTCTTCCATCACATCTTCCTCCCTCTCCCCAAGATTTATATGCTGTTCTCAGATGAAGGCCCTTAGTGGGGGGAGGGGCAGGTAGGCCTGAGCATCTTCGGCCGGCGGCTGTTTCCTCAACTCTCATCCACTAGTGGCTCAGAGCCAGTGAGGGTGGGCTGAGTACACCTTATAGATGCATCAAACAAGTACATTATGATAGGAAAAAAATGTTAGACTGTATAGCTTTTGCAAGACAGCAAAAACCAGACTAGTCATCAATATCTCTCTCTTCATTTTTAGGAAACTGGTTACTTGGAATATTGTCATAATGGCTAAGAGAACAAATTGGACAAATTGTATGACCTAGTATCTTCTATATATGGTGGTGCATTTCAGCAATTACAAATTTATACAAACAGCCAAAAATAATTTAAAAGCATGAGATGATTCACATTTATTGGACATTAGACAAATTTCAACTTTTGATTTTAAATGATCACCTTATCTTTTATTGCTTTCATTTACTTATTATCACTGCCAAACAAGTAAAAAAAATTCGGTAGTAATAACAAAGCTGATGTATGTGAGAGGGGCATGTCAGTTAGTGGTCTTTAGCTGATTCCAGTGTTGTATTTGTTTCATACAAACCCTCTCCCAATTATTGCAAACCTTATCATACCCGTATGTAAAACTGTTTCCTTGCATCAAGCCAGTGAAGTTTGGGTTTTCTTTTGTGCTATTGGTTGTGAAAACAGAGCTTATTATACTAATGGAATAACTGCATATTCCACTCAGTCACTACAAAAGGCCACAGTTTGTTTGCATGATTTTTTTTTTTTTCTTCAGTGGTTGTGCAGACAAGAATCCATTTCTGGGACAGAATTGTATTTTTAAAGTCATTTTTTTCTTGAAATGGATATGTACAAAATAAAATAAATGGAAGACAGGATAACTTTTTTTTTCTATTTATTTGTAATTCACTTCACTCTGGAAAGCATTGGAAACCTTATTGCAAAAAGAAATTGAGGCAAACAGTAATAGTTGAGATTTACAATACGTCCATATGGTTTTAATTTTGGCTATAGAGCAATTTTGAACTATTACAGAGAAAACTCTTCAGTGTATTCATGATACATGGTAATCTTCATATTTCCTTTTTCTCTAGCAGAGAAATTATCCAGAAACAGAAATATCAGTGTTTGCTAAAGAAAAAAATTAAATTTCTTTGGCTACAGTTAGGCCTCTATTAACAAAAAGGGGCATGTTCCTACAACTCACACAGCTGTCAAATCCATTATTATATTACTACCCCAAGCTGTCACACTCTCTAGGGGAGTGTAAGGAGTATTTGAGCCAATTTTAAAAAGAAGGTGTCTTAGTTATCTAGTGCTGCTATGACAGAAATACCACAAGTTGGTGGCCTTAACAAACAGAAATTTATTCTCTCACAGTTTAGGAGACTAGAAGTCTGAATTCAGGGCACTGGCTCTACGGGCAGGCTTTCTCTCTCTGTCGACTCTGGAGGAAGATCCTTGTCTCTTCTGAGCTTCTGCTCCTGGGAGATCTTCATGTGGCTTGGCATCTTTCTTCCCCCATCTCTGCCTGCTCTCTTGCTTATTTTATCTCTTTTATATCTCAAAAGAGATTGACTCAAGACACACCCTATACTAATCCTGATTAACATAAAAGGACAATCCATTCCCAAATGGGATTATAACCATAGGCATGGAGGTTATTTACAACACATATTTTGGGGGACACAGTTCAATCCATAACAGATAGGATGAAAATGATCATCAGTTGTGCCAGAAAACACCAAATATGGTTCTATATAGGGATTAACATTCTTCAAACACATACCTCATATTGGCAAACACGGTCCATGCCTACCACGGCTTTGACAGCCTGAGGAAGGGAAATGAGGCAGCAGGCAACAGACAGCCCAGCCAGGGCTTTCAGGGCCATAGTGGGCAGTCCTCTTTGAAAAAATCAGCAGGGGTTAATTGCTTTGCCCCTGAAGAGTCCCTAGAAATACAAATCAAGTCTTCTACAGAACTGCTAGAACACATTACTGATTTGAATGGCTTGAAATGACATCACTACTTCAAAAGTCATACATTTTAAAACAGAATATGACCTTAGACCTCACATGTATGAGGAAGACATCAGAATACAACCCAAACTCCTTTACAATGACCTACATTCAAGGCCTTCCCTCTTCTGGCCCTGTACCCTCTCCGACCCCATCAACTACCATTCTCCTCTTGCTCATTTGGTGCAAGCTACACTGGCCATCCTCATGTTCCCTGAACAAGCCAACCTCTTTACTGGCTCAGGGCCCTTGCTGTAGCTATCCTTCTGCCTCTTCCTACAGATTATCCACAAGGCTAATTTCCTCACTCCATTCAGGCCTAAACTCAAATTTACCCTTGTCATTGAGGCTTTCTTTGATTATTCCATCTAAAATGGCAGACTGTTCCCCATTCTTCTATCACTCACTGTCCCCTTACCAGCATTATTTTTCTTCACAGCATGTATCACTGCCTAAAATTAAATAATATTTTTATGTACTTGTTTATTGCTTGTCCTTCTGCATTAGACTGTATGGCTCCGTAAGGGCACAGGCTTTGTATCCCCTACATCATTATTTATTATTTAGAGCTAACATATTTTAAATTCTCTGTACCTCCATCTTCTCATCTGTACAATGGAGATCATAACAGTAAGAAACATAAGAGGAGCTGTGAGGATTAAACAAAGTAATGCATGTGAATCATCTACTAGCTCCTAGTGCTCAATGAAAGGAGTTCTTTGTTAACATATATTGTGTGCTTTGCTTCCACAATTGGGGTTAGGACCCAGAATTTTCACTCCAGTGCCCTGTTACATCATTCAAAACACATGGCAGAGAATCAAGATGCACGGCCTAACTAGGATCCCAGAGAGAACCAAAAGCTTCTTAGCCACCCAGGATTGAACCACACGCTCCAGATGAGATAGGATGCAATTCTCAGTCCTTCCACATCCCTGGAAAGGCAGTGTTTGTAACTCACCAAAACGTTGGTCATATAACCAACAAATATTTATTAGGAATCTACTAAGAGCCAAGAGCCTGGATGGTATCTGTCCTCATGGAGCTAAATGTGACACAACTCTAAAAGTGCATTTAATTGGCTAGATGAACTGTGGGAAAAAAAAGTTATATTTTTTCTGGGATCATGTAACAGAAGCACATGTTTCCCTGGGGCAAGAAATAAAAATAAACACATCCTAAAAAGGACAGTGCTTCCATAATCTTGTGGAAAAACCTACTTGTAGCCTGGAGACACCCAAATCCATCCAGTGCACCTAAAACAGTGGCCTTCAAACTTTGTTATCCACAGTACAAAATACAGTTCATAGCATGCCACACTTATATTTGAAAAAGAAATTTTGTAGAATACTTATCTTTATTATATGTGACATGCTATTTTCTCTATTTCATTAAAAAAATTGTTCCTCACACCTGAGTAAATTAGGTTCTGTGATTTAAACAAAGTGGGGGTGGGGGGGGGTGGGCAAGGCATGCTATCAGGTTAGGTGAGAGGCATCAAACATGCATAGGAACAAATCCTACCTGAGGCAGGAGACACAAGACTTAGTCCCAACTTTGCGAAAAGCCTCATGACCACATGCTTGCTGTCCAAAATTAGAATATGTAAATTACACAAATGTGCGTTTATCTAATTCACCATGGAGAGCATTTCAGTGCTTTCCCCCCTTCACAGATACGCTTCTCTGTTCTATGCTACAAACCTGGACATGCACTCAGGTTTGTACTCTAGGGACCACACCAAGAAAAAGGACTGAAAAGCAGCCCCTGCCCAGTCCCACCCCAAACACCTTCAGGACACCTGACACAAAGGAATACTCTTGTTTGGAAAACACAGTTGTGAGGCAGTATAATCTGTTTAGGTTAAAATCCAAGCACCACCACTTTACTAATTATACGACCTTGGACAAGTGGTTTAACCTGCCTCACAGGGTTATGAGAATTAAATTAGTTACTATATGCTTGCTGGGGGCCCTGGTGGCACAGTGGTTAAGCGTTCAGCTGCTAACCGAAAGGTCGGCAGTTTGGATCCCCCAGGCGCTCCTTGGAAACCCTATGGGGCAGTTCTACTCTGTCCTATAGGGTCGCTATGAGTCGGAATCGACTCAACAGCAACGGATTTGGTTTTGGTTTTTTTATATGCCTGCTTGGCATATACTTAGCATTATATCAGTGTTTGGTATTATTATTAATAGTGCATCACACTTAAGGAAACCTCCTTTGCCCAAACCTTACAAACGTGGTTCTAAGTGTCAATAAAAGGTAACTTCAGTTCCTACAAGTAACTTGAACATAGTATTTCAGGAAATAGATCTGACCTAGTGAGTCCCATTTAATAAGCAATGATTTAGCAAGTAGGTCTCTGTTGTCTCTTGGTGTATGGTGTACATATGCAGATGGAAGGCCTACTTGCAAATGGCAGCCTTGCCCATTCCTGCAGCCCTCAAATTAAAAAAAAAAAAAAAAAAATCACCACCACCACTACCACTCCTGCTTAGGGCCTTTTAAGTCATAGGAACTATTTGCTTGGAGCTGAAAAATACAAAATAAACACCTCTCTGCTCAAGCACAAACTAATACTTTTTTCGCTACACAAAATTCTCCAAATCTTTGCCCCTAAAAAATACACTCAAGTGGGTTTATTTTTTCTAGTCTGTTTATATAACAATTGTATCAAATATGAACAGCCTTCTTCCAAAGCACACTTCATATTTTGAGATTTCTGAATGGATCTGAACCGTTCTCCAAAACTAATCAGCATTATTTCTATGCAAATACAGACGTTACAGAAGTTGTCATCAAGTGCTACTGTACTGCCTAATTACAGGTTGTAAGCAGATCTTCTGGCATATTCACGACATTTAATATCAAAATGCCCAGAATGCTAATGATTTCTCTCTTCCCCCTATACTAATAATTCCAGGGTGAGAAGTTCAAGTCCATTGCCTTATCTTTCTGATATGATGTATTACATAGCAATATCATCAGTAATCTTTAATCAGTATATTATTTTAAAATTCTCATATTTCTATATTTAAAATTCCATTATTTTTATCAATTTAAACAATTCAGGGTATGATTTTAGCATTAATGTTCCTTCGATTTAAAATTGGAAAAAACAGGAGACTAAAAATTGGGTCAGGTCTTATACTTAATCAGTCTTAGATTGCTTATGTTTTCCTATGGTCAATAATAATTTCTAGAAAACAGAGTGATTTTCAAAAACCACCTACTTAAATACCTAGGGGCTTATTTTCATCAAAAGAACTAGAGTTAAATGTTTCAACTTTAGTTTTTAGTTTTCACATCTGGACATCGGTAACTGCCTGTCTCTTTAAACATGATATATGTTTCTTTTTGTAAATTAGTTTAATTTAGCATTTCCATGTTTAGTGTTCAGAAAACCTTGCCACCTGCTACAGAGCTCACCCTCTTTTCCATAAATAAAGTATGTTCCTTTTTAAAGGACAGATGTGTGAAGCAAACCTTAAAACAACCCAATTTCTCGTTTTAACACTGGTAAAAAAAAATCCAAAATCTGACCAAAAGGAAGTCACAACAAGCATTCTATAATATAAACAGACAGTATCCACATAGTTTATTTCTCACAGTTCTCCTGACAAATGAACATTATTCAAGAACATACTGTATACACAGATAAGAAGAAACATACAAATTGTTTTAAATGATGCACAACAAAATCCAGCAGTATAAAAGAATGCATGTGAACTCTTGCTCACTGCGCAGACTAATTTAATCACTTGTTTAAATAGTAATAAAAATACAATCTTTTATGGATTTTGTGCAGACTACAAAAGAGGGAAATTATTATCATATATATGATTTTTATATTAGGCAGTTTTCTTTGATGAGTTGCACCGACAACTCCAAATACAGAGGCAGAAGGCTGTGTATTTAAAGGAATTAATGGTGTGAATCAGAGACTACACAGTTACTACCACTGGCACTTTTCACCATAGTTTGTACACATCACATGATCATCTTATATAACATTACGTTTAAAAAATATATCTGAGTGACAATTTTATAACATTCACACACCATGAGCTGGTTAAGGAGGTAATGCCACGGTTGCCTCCTGTAGTGCTTCGCTGTTGGTAATAAGGACAGTTCATTGTGGTTAAAAGAAGTTAGACAACAACATGGTTAAGCAGCTCCAATTTCCTAAGGGCCATCAATGGCCACCACTGGACAGTGAGTTCTTTTAAAGTGTATATATCCTAGAAGCAAACACCATCATTGGTTAAAACTTTGTCTAAAGAGTCAGTTTCTGTGCTGAAAACTATTTTCACAACAAAACTGAAAGCTACTAAACTGTTTTTATATAAATACTTTGTCTTCTCATTATCATATTTATGACCAAGTTCTTTGAAACCTTTGGAATTTACTCTCTCGTTAATGTGTGCTCTCATTTCCATCTCACCCATTTAAGAGCACCACCTAAAAAAGGCTTTAAAGGGGCGGTGAAGAATTCACCAGGGAAACCCTTTGCTCACCAGGAATGTTCAGCTGCTGAACAGTGTTCTAGAGCCGCAACGGTGCAGAGCTGCACTTGACGAGAACACTCAGGAAGCGGTCATGCTGTGAGTGTCATTTCAGGGAAAGCAGAGAATCTTTCCAAACTGTGCACATAACTAACAATGATACCATTGCTATGTGTTGAAGAGGACTAGTAAATAATGGGCTCCTCCATGTCATCTGTTCGCTGGAAAGTAGTTTGGGTCAAGGTAATTATAACTGGTGCCCTGGGACACACAGTAGTCTCTGTCTAAGAATGTCTCTGACCTATAAATAGGTTCTAATTGGTGATCTTCCTTGTGAATATCTGTTTCATGTAGGCTGCAAAAAACACAAAACATACACACATATTATTACATGGCATTGGATGTATTTTGGTCTAGGTATTACAAAACCTCCTCATAGCTCTGTCTGTTTAAATCCACTAATCTATCACAATTTCTAATGTAAAGTTACTTGAAAAGTGGTATGATTAAAGATTATTTAATTGCGTAGAACAACAAAGAGTAATCCACTAAATACGGTTACTTTTTAAGAAATTTGGAAATCAAATTCACAACGGCTGAGAAGCTCGTTATTTGTCAAAATGTAAAACCTACAATGAAGAAAAACACTTACCAGTCTGAACAAGAATCACAGAAATCCAAAGACATTTCTGGAGGACAATCCTGGCAGTGCCACCGAATGCCCTGGATAGGTTCTATGCCACAGTTATCACACTATAACAGAAGCAGAGAGAAAACAGATCAAGTTATATTGTTCCACAATCTTTTTTTTTTCCTACTGAGAAACATATTTGTTCACATAGACATCCTCCTCCTACCTCCCACAAGCTGGACAGTGGTATAAGACAAGAAGCTGTAATTACAATTTCTAGCAAACAAGCTGAAAATTCACCCACACAAAGATGCATATTGAGATATAGGTGAGTGAGAGGGATATTTTAAGAAATAACTCTTCTGCTTTATTTTAAAAAATTTTAAGTAAATCATCTGCAAACTTGGGCATTTTATTATTAGTAACATTTACTTGAAAGGTACCTTGGATGAGCATACAGGGATTGTGATTGAGAACTACTGCCTTAATATCATTTAAAACTATCCAGATATGTTACAGAACTGTTTAATGGGCTACTTGTAGCTAACACAAACCTGAGCAATCACAAAATCCTTTCTGAACTTTTTATCTTATTGAATCACTTCCCAAAGCCTGAAGGCTCCTAATAGTCAATGCTTGTCATGAAAAATGGCACAGCCAGCTCCTTCTCAGTGGGGGGCACTGTGGTAGACCTCAGTGTGTTCTGTGCAGTTTTGGACATCAAAGTAATTCTCATTTCTAGTGTCTCTGATCATCAGGCCAACTAGGATTGCTAACAGACTGGCAAACAAGTAATGGCTGGGTCTTGCAGCAAAATTAAGAGAAGTGGAGCAAGTTTCCCCTTGAAAGACGACAGCTGCCAGTTACGAAAATGTCTGACGGAGAAGAAGCGTCACTGAAAGATCAAGAGGGAAAATAATTTAATATAATCTAGTTAATGGCTACTCCAGAGGGTCAGGGGTATAATAATTTTGTTTTCAGTTTCAGTTTATCAGTCACAGCACACATCAATACCTTCATATATACTATCATCACCACCACCACCTATAGTTCACAGTCTCATTGTTACTTCCTCCAATCCCACAACATACAGTCAATTCTAATTCCTAAAGTTTTCTCAAACCTGTCTACCTCTCTCCATTTCCACATCTACCATTCAAGTTCAGGACAGCCTCATCTCTATTCTAAATTACCAAAAGGATCTCTAACCAGTCTCTTTGCCTCCATTTTTGCCTTCCTCCAATCCATTCTCCATAATATGGCTGGAATGATCTCTCTCCCCTATACTTACTTTTTTTTTGTAATTACGTAGATACATTATTGTTTTTAAAGACTTTAATACAGTAGTCAGAGATTTAGAGCTACCAAGCTCTAATCCCACTGCCTTCTATAAAGGTTATCAACACTAACAGTTTAAGTAATTAGGATGATCTTTCTAAGATGCAAATTTCATGTTACTCTGCTTAAAATCCTTCAATGGTTCCCCAACCTCTTAGGATAAAGTTGAAACTCCTTAGCAAAATTTCCAAGGCGCCTCATCTCTCACTACTCTCCGGTATGCACTCTAGTCATACCCAACCATTTTACTTGTTTACTTATCAACATTCCTCATGAGAATGAAAAGTAGCATAAGGGTAGGTAGGGGCTGAGTCCTTCTTGTTTACTGCTGAATCCCCAGCACTTAGCAAAGTGTCTGGCACATAATAATGGGTATCTCAGAATTGGGGGAAATGAATGGATATACTTCTATTAGCCTCTCCAAAAAACAGCAGCTGAGGTAACTCTGAAAGGGGAAAAAAATATTTCTGATCCATGAACAACAGCAATAAAATGAGAGACAGCTAGACAGAAACTTTTCATTTCATATTTTAAATCAAATTATTCTGTGAGTTCCTGGTGGCACAAATAGTTAAGCACTTGACTACTAGCTAAAAGGCTGGTGGTTCAAATCCACCTAAAGGTGCCTCAGAAGACAGGTCTGGCAATCTGCTTCCAAAACGCCACAGTCTTGAAAACTCTATGGAGCAGTTTTATTCTGCACACATGGGGTGACCACGTGTCAAATCGATTTGACTAACAACAACAATAGATACCTATATATTTGTCTTCTCTCTACTGAGTCATAAACTTCTTGGCATCAGAAACTGTGGCATACTACCTCTTATAAATGAACAAGATAAGAGCTAAACTTACTTTTATCTGTATGCTTGGAAGTTCTGGAGTTTAATGCTCTGGAAACCACCTTAAAAATTAAATGAATTAAAGTAAATAGAATTTACCTTAAAGCCCACATGTTGCACAAATCCACTTTCAGCTTGCATTTGTTGAAGTTTTTGTTTCTTTAACTTTTTAAACTGTAATAGTTCTTTATATTCAGGTAAATTCCTATACATAATAGGAATACTTTCATCATCCTATTGAAAATTAAAAAAAAAAAAATTAGTTTGATAGTTAAAATGAACTAAGTATAAAAAATTCTGATACTAGGAGCACATCTCAATTCAGATGCTAAATTTTCATCAGACATACTTGAACTGCCCCATCAAAATTCTAATAGTCTTCTTTACAAAATCACAAAAGCCAATCCTTAAATTTATATGGAAGGATAAGGGACCCCAAATAGCTAAAGCAATCTTAAAGATGAAGAATAAAGTGGCTCACACTTGCTGATTTAAAAACATACTATAAAGTCACAATAAATAAAACAGACTGGTATTGGTATAATAACAGACATACAGACCAACAGAAGAGAATTAAGAATCCAGAAATAAATCTATGCATTTATGGTCAACTGATTTTCAACAAGTGTGCTAAATCCATTCGATGGGTAAGGAAGAGTCTCTTCAATAAATTGTGCTGGGAAAATTGGATGTACACATGCAGAAGAATCAGTCAGGATCCAAGCCTCACACCATACACAAAAACCAATTCAAAGTGGATTAAGGACCTAGAGATGACACTAAAACCATAAAATTCTTTGAGGAACATATAGGGGCGTGGCTGTGGGGTCTATTTTTAACCACAGATTATCAGATATGACAAGAAAATCACAAACAAAAGACAAAACAGACAAATGAGGCCTCATAAAAATTAAATACTTTTAAAAAATGTCTGCCTTGAGCATTATGCTCTTTTAAGAACCATCTATATTGGATCAAATTGACAACAGCCAACTTGAAAGATCAGACAGGAACCTTAGGGGGCACTGAGTTTATGCTAATGGGGGAGGAACAACTCAGAAAAGGAGGGTGAGAATGGCCGCATAACTCAAAGAATGCAATCAATGTCAGTAAATTGAACATGTAGAAATGTTGAATTGGTGTTATGTTTTGCTGTGTATATTCTCAACAAGAACAAAATACAATTTTTTAAAAAAATTAAATACTTTTGTTCATCAAAGGACTCTATCAAAACAGTGAAAAGACAACCTACAGATTGAGAGAAAATTTTCAAGAACCATGTATCTGATAAAGGCCTAATATCCAATATGTATATAAAACCTGTACAACTTCATAACAAAAAGACAACTCAAAATCGGCAAAAGACTTGAACAGACATTTCAACAAAGAGGATATCCAACAGCCAACAAGCACATGAAAAGATGCTCACTGTCATTAGCCATTAGAGAGATGCAAATCAAAACTACAATGACATTCCACCTAACCCGTATTAGAATAGCAATGATAAAAAATGGAAAATAATAGGTGTTGGCGAGGTTGTGAGAAACTGAAACCCTCATCCACTGCTGGTGGGAACGTAAAATGGTACAGCCACTGTGGAAAACAGTCTGGCAGTTCCTCAAAAAGTTAAACAAAGAACTACCATCTGACCCAGCAATCTCAATCCCAAGTATATACCCAGAAGGAGGCTGACACAAACAGAAACCTGTATACGAATGTTCAGTGCAGCATTTTCCCCAATAGCCAAAAGGTGGAAACAACTGAAATGTCCATCAGTAAATGAATGAATTACAAAATGTGGTATATACACACAACGAAATACTACTCAGCCGTGAAGAGAAGCGAAGTCCTGATGCATGCCACAACATGGATGAACCTTGAAAATACCATGCTGAGTAAAATAAGTCAGTTGCAAAAGGACAAATCCTGTATAATCTTTTATATGAAATGACCAGATACATAGAAATCAAACATTATTAGTGACTACCAGGGGTGGAGGGAGGGGAAAGGGGAGTTTTTGCTTAGGGGCATTGAGTTCTGTTAATGGTGGTGGAATGATTTGGAAAAGGATAGCAAGAATGGTTGTACAACTGGAAAAATGTAATCAATATCGTTGAATTGTACATGTAGAAACTGCTGAGATGACATAGGTTTTTTTATGTGTATTTTCACCACAATTAAAAAAAGAGAAATACTTGAAATGTATTGACAAGACATTTTCCACTTTTAAAATATCTCAGCTTTAGGGCTCATAAAAAATTAGTGCTGCTGTTAGCAATATTTTAGACTAATACTTCTGGACAAAGTTCACTTTTAATGCAGTAGCAATACTGAATTGCAGAAGACTACCTCATAATGCAGGTAGAGGGGAACGTGGCATGACTATCACCCCTGGCACACACTAATGCAGACCTATAGGTTCATAGCTACTTGAAACACTCCTTATAATCTACTTCTCCCTGATCTGCAGGAAGCACCTCTTCTCCAATCTAGCAGATTTTTATGCTTCCTTCTATACACATGACATCTTCATAACAAGAAGCAAACCCGACTGTGCTCTGCTCTGTACTACAATGATAATGGCAGCACATTCCTCTCTTACTTAAGGGGATGAACTGAGTTACAAAGATGACTGTTTAGAAGACTGCAAAATAAGTCAACAGTAAAAACTGTATAAATATGTTAACCTGAAGTGTCCTTAAAAAACTGACTTTCAATGTATAAAGTCCACTTATGACTCTTGTAAACAAATATGTTCAGAAATCCCCCACTCCCCCCAAAAAACTGACTAGCAACTTTATACTCAAAGTGCTAATATTCAAAATGTGTCTAATTAAAATTGCTGAGAACACTGCTCATCCTGGGTATCCACATGGATGCACCATCACCTACATCTAGCCTCCATTCCTAGACTTGTTCTATTACAATGACATTCATTTCCATTCTTTCTCAGTCCCTCACTCCAATGGCCGTACCCTGGATCTTGCCTTCAACTAGACGTTTTACCTCTAAAATCTTAAATTTACATATCCCACCTACAATCTTGAATAGGCTCCAAATGGCCAAAGAGGAGCCAATATGAGAATATAAGTACTAACAAAGATAGTAACACCAAGGGATTGAAACACATTAAATATATTTAAGTCCAGTAGTTCATAAAATTGAAAAACAACAACAACAACAACAACCTCATTGGTCATCTTTGGAGGACACGAGAAAATGAACTCATCTGAAAAACAAGAAAATAAAGGGAAGACTCAAGCATTTATCCAGTGTTTTCTCTATGCACCTGGGGTAACCAAATAGCTGATAAAGGGGTTTCTCTTTATAGAATATTCCGTTGAATAAATTAAAAAGAAATAACAGGATTAGAATATCACTATTTTGTAACACCTCATGAATTAATGGAGCCCTGGTGGTATAGTGGTTAAGAGCTCGGCTGCTAAACAAAAAGGTTGACCAGTCTGAATCCAACAACCGCTCCTTGGAAACCCTATGGGGCAGTTCTACTCTGTCCTACAGGGTTGCTATGAGTCAGAATTGACTAGACGGCAATGGGTTAACTGGTTAATGAATTAATGGATCTAGGCAATGATCCTGCTACGTCCAAAGAAAATCAAAGACAACCAGACTGATGGAAGTACATACGAAGCAGTTCTGCTCACTCGAACAAACAAACAAATCTCAATCTGATCAATTCTCTAGACCTACTGTCAAACACAGGGAATTTAAGCGACAGAGGAATAGAAATAAATAACACTAAAAGAGAAAAAATAACATCCATACTGTGGTAAATTCTATAGGACAAATGACCAGTTCTTCAAAACAGAATTGTAAGGAGGCAAAAAGGAGAGAGACGGAAAGAGAGAAGGAGAAAGATAACTTATTGTAATTTATGGACTTTATTTATATCCAGATCAAAACAAACAAATTGGGGTAAAAAAATCATAAGACAATTGGGAAATGTATATTTGATTATACAAACAATTCCCTTTTTATAGACATGATAGTGTGATTATTAAAGATACGTATTAAAATATCTAAAAACAAAATGATATAATGATATAATGTCTGAGACTTGCTCTACAATAATCTGGGGTGAAGTTGGGTGGGGAGGGAGTGTAGATGAAACAAGATCACCACAAGTTGATAATTGCTGAAGTTGAGTGATGCTGCATGCGGGTTCATTATACTATTCTACTTTTGTATATGTTTAAAAATTTCTTTATAAAAAAAGAAAGCATGATTAAAAAAAATCGGACTTGTTAATGAAAGGAGGAGAAACCAATGTTCTTTGAAAAGTAGGAATAATTAGAAAATCCAGGTGCTCTCACTCTGTACCCTGGTCTATGTAATAACTTACTGACGCCTCTTCAATAGCAGTATTCATGTGGCTATGAAAACAGGAGCGGTCATCATCTTCATCCATATATACTGGAGGTTCATGGGATGTCATGAAAGTGGAAGGTTTAAACAGATGCTTATTAAGGGGGTGCTGTCGTCTGCTTGTTGAAGACTAAATGAGAAAACAAATTTTTAATTGGCACAGTGGAAAATCAAAAGAATCAAAAACATAAGAATATAAATGATACTTCCAGACAGTCTATCAGCAAGACTTCATTTCTATCCTTTAGCATACTCTTATGTGGTTGCTTTTTCTATGTTGTCTGGATTTTTAAAGCATGATTAGCCTTAAAAAACAGAAATGTAGGCAAATACCCAGCAACCATAACAATGGTCTATGTGCTCACTACCTCTCTTATGTTTGTACCTCTAACATTCATCTCACTCTTGGCATTCAAATGCTGGCTGAATTGAACTCCTCTTAGAGTCATGTAAAGATCAAAGAGGAAGTGCCCAAAGCCAGACAAAGCTTTCAAGTAAAAGAAACACTTCCACAACACAATGAATGTCTAAAAATAATATCTAACATTGATTGCTTAGTTTATACCAATCTCATTTAATCCTCACGACATTCTTTAAAAGTATCATCACTTCTGTTTTAAAGATGAAGGAACTGAGTCATAGGGAGGTTAAGTTTCTTGTTCAAGGTGTTGCAGCTAGAAGTGGTAGAAGGAGGACTGCAAACTTAGTCTGTGTGGTACCAAATCCCTCGCTCTCAACCCCTGTGCAGACTGCGTCTCTGGATTGACAGCAGAGCTGTCACTTCACCTGTTTGAAAAGTCAAACTTGAACACGTCTGAGTTTCTTTATTATACCATTTGTTATTACCATTCCAGTTTTAACTGGGAAAATGCAAGGTGTACAACATAACTTATAAAGTTAGTTTAAAATTAGTCATGAAAGCTAGAGTTGAATGTTGGTTACCAAGGTCCCAACATGTCAAAGTTACAAGCTGAATTCTACATATCTAATATAATGCTATATTTGGGAAAAAAAATCCAAAATACTTTAAAAATAGGCAAATTAAAACTTCCAAAGCTTAAAACCCGCTGCTGTCGAGTCAAATCTGACTCATAGCGACCGTACAGGACAGAGTAGAACTGCCCTGTAGGATTTCCAAGGAGCAGCTGGTGGATTCATACTGCTGACCTTCTGGTTAGCAGCCAAACACTTAACCACTACGCCACCAGGGCTCCACATAAAATAGCTTCAATAAGGAAGAGTTAACAGTATTAGACATATTCTTGGCTTCCCTTTATGTGAAGGGTGACAGTGGTGAGGGGAAAGGGAAGTACCAGGATGATTTATAAAGAAATGAAAGAAGGCCAATAATGTGTCTTTACTTTTTTTACAATTATACCAAAAAAAAGGCTACAATATAATGCAGTGTTCTGTATAGCAGATACAATGCAATGGTCTGTAGAAAGCAGCAGAGAAAAGCGGAAGTCAGGATCAGAATTAGAGGATCAATGGTTCTCCAACTTACTATCTATGTGACTAGACAATTTACTCAACATACCTTAGGACCCAGTTTTCTCATCAATAAAAAGATTGTAAAACAGTACTGCACAGGGCATTCAACAGTATAAATAACAGTTAGCTATTAATATTATTATCAGTAAAGTGAAGGTGATGACACTACCTAAACACTTAGAACTGCAGTGAGTATTCAATAAAACATGTTAATAAATATTTCTATTTTTGGATTTATGTCTCATATCTAAAAAACAGAAATTGATGGTGTTTATTAGAGTCAAATATCCTAAAAATCAACATTACAAAATGTCTTTCTGATATACATTCAATCTAAAACCTTTCAAATAGCACTCATTCACATAAACTAACCTACACCTAAAATAATAATAATCATCATTAAAGCTCAATGAATTGCACTGAGTACCAATAATGGAATTCTACCCTGTGTCTATGCCCAATGTAATGAAATGCTTGGAGTAAACAAAATTTCAAATATAAAACTGAACTCTATTTTAACAAAAATGTACATTTTCATATAGTAATTCTGAGCTTGATGAGTTTAATCTAAGATACAAGGTTTACTTTCATCTATTTTCTTTTTACCTTTTTGGAGTACATATATAAGTTGGGTGTTCTTCCTGGGACTGGAATGCCAGCTTTTGTTAGCTTTATGAAATACTTCTGCACTCGGCTGGCAACCTAAAGAAACATGACCGGTCTTTCAACATACTGATATGACATACAAGGCCTAAATGTTTTTAAAAAGTAAAAATGTTTATGTATACCTAATGAATGCTAACGATTGAAAATTTGTCACAAATCTAGAAATAACTTTAAACTGCCAACAAAGACAATTATATTTTAAAATCTAGACCAAAAAAATCATTAAATTAAATCTAAACTTGTCTGATTACAAAGCTACACATGTACTTCCAACTTGTAAACATTTATCCTTGTAGCAAAAAAATGCATCTATTAATATAGACAGGAATGTGAAGGAGAAAACTGCTACATACATTTTTAGAGAGACAACCAGGGAATACTGAGTAAGGCAATGCTACAAATCTATTGGCACAAGTTTAAATGACCCAAAAGTACATAATCAGCGTAGTTAATAAGAATTCAAGAGACAGTAAGCCTGTGGTTGTTGTTAGGTGCTGTCAGGTGGGTTCCAACTCACAGCGACCCTATGTACAACAGAACGAAACACTGCCCGGTCCTGCACCATCCTCACTATCATTGCTATGTTCTAGCCCATTGCTATAGGCACTGTGTCAATCCATCTCCTTGAGGGTTTCGCTGACCTTTTTACCAAGCATGATGTCCTTCTCCAGGGACTGGTCCCTCCTGATAACATGTCCAAAGTACATGAGACAAAGTCTCGCCATCCTTGCTTCTAAGGAGCATTCTGGCTGTACTTCTTCCAAGACAGATTTGTTCGTTCTTCTGGCAGTCCGTGGTATATTCAATATTCTTCACCAACACCATAATTCAAGTTGTCTTCGGTCTTCCTTACTCATTGTCCAACTTTCGCATGCATATGAGGCAACTGAAAATACCATGGCTTGGGTCAGACGCACGTAAGTCCTCAAAGTGACATCTTTGCTTTTTAACACTTGAAAGAGGTCTTTTACAGCAGGTATGCCTAATGCAATATGTCCTTTGATTTCATGACTGCTGCTTCCATGGGTGTTGTGGATCCAAGTAAAATGACATTCTTGATGATTTCAACATTTTCTCCATTTACATGATGCTGCTTGGCTCAGTAGTGAGGATTTTTGTTTTATGTTGAGCTGCAATCCATAATGAAGTCTGCAGTCTTTGATCTTTACCAGTAAGTGCTTCAAGTCCTCTTTGCTTTCAGCGATATGTGTCATCTGCATATCACAGGTTGTTAATTAGTCTTACTCCAATCCTGATGCCCCATTCTTCTTCATATAGTCTGAATTCTCAGATTATTTGCTCAGCCTGAATACATATGGTGATAGGATACAACTCTGACACACACTTTTCCTGATTTTAAACCACACAGTATCCACTTGTTCTGTTCAAATGACTGCCTCTTGGTCTATGCAGAGGTTCTGCATGAGCACAAGTAAGTGTTCTGGAATCCCATTCTTTGCAATGTTATCCATAATTTGTTATGATCCACACAGTTGAATGCCTTGGCATAGTCAATAAAACACAGGCAAACATCTTTCTGGTATTCTCTACTTTCAGCCAAGATCCATCTGACATCAGCAATGATATCCCTTGTTCCACATCCTCTTCAGAATCTGGTTTGAATTTCTGGTAGCTCCCTGTCAATGTACCGCTGCAACTGTTTTTGAATGATCTTCAGGAAAATTTTACTTGCGTGTGATATTAATGATATTGTTCGATGATTTCCACATTCCATTGGATCACCCTTCTTTGGAATGGGCACAAATATGGATTCTCCTTCAGTCAATTAGCCAGGTAGGTGTCTTCCAAATTTCTTGGCACAGACCAGTAAGCACTTCCAGACGACATGTTTCAACAAATGGATGCAATGCTTGAAGCCTTGTTTTTCACCAATGCCTTCAGTGCAACTTAGACTTCTTCCTTCAATACCATCAGTTCTTGATTATATGCTGCCTCCTGAATGGTTGAACATTGACCAATTCTTTTTGGTATAGTTACTCTGTGTATTCCTTCCATCTTCTTTTGATGCTTCCTTGTTGTTCAATATTTTGTCCATAGAATCCTTCAATATTGCAACTCAAAGCTTGAATTTTTCTTTAGTTCTTTCAGCTTGAAAAATGCCAAGCATGTTCTTCCCTTTTGGTTTTCTAACTCCAAGTCTTTGCACAGTTCATTATAATACTTTACTCTGTCTTCTCGAGTCGCTCTTTGAAATCTTCTGTTCAACTCTTTTACTTCATCATTTCTTCCATTTGCTTTAGCTACTGTACATTCTAGAGCAAGTTTCAAAGTCTCTTCTGACATCCATTTTGGTCTTTTCCTTCTTTTCTTTTTAATGACCGTTTGCTTTCTTCACATGTCTTTGATGTCATCCCACAACTTGTCTGGCCTTCAGTCATTGGTGCTGAATGTGTCAAATCTATTCTTGTGAAGGTCTCTAAATTCAGGTGGGATATATTCAAGGTCGTACTTTGGCTCTTGTGGATTTGTTTTAACTGTCTTCAGCTTCAACTTGAACTTGCATATAAGCAACTTGTGGTCTGTTCTGCAGTTGGCCCCTGGCCTTGTTCTAACTGATGAGAGTGAGCTTCTCCATTCTCTTTTCCCAGATGGAATCAATTTGATTCCTTGTATTCCGCGAGGTCCACGTGTACAGTCGCTGTTTATGTTGTTGGAAAAAACTATTTGCAATGAATTAAGTCGTTGATCTTGCCAAGTTCTATCATGTGATCTCTGGCTTTGTTTTTATTACCAATGCCATTATTTTCTAACTACCAATCCTTCTTCTTTGTTTCCAGCTTTTGCATTCCAATCACCAGTAATTATCAATGCATCTTGACTGCATGTTTGATCAGTTTCAGACTGCAGAAGCTGGTAAAAAATCTTCAATTTCCTCATCTTTGGCATTAGTAGTTGGTATGTAAATTTGAATAATAGTTGTATTAACTGGTATCCCTTGTAGGTGTACGGACATTATCCAATCACTGGTAGCATTGTACTTCAGGATAGATCCTGAAATGCTCTTTTTGATGATGAACGAGACACCCACCATTCCTCTTCAATTTGTCATTTCCGGCATAGTAGACCATATGATTATCTCATTCAAAATGGTCAATACCAGTCCATTTCAGCTCATTAATGTCTAGGATATTGATCTTTATGCATTCCATTATTTTTGACAACTTCCAATTTTCCTAGAGTCATACTTCGTACATTCCACATTCAGCTTATTAATGGATGTTTGCAGCTGTTTCTTCTCATTTTGAATCATGCCACCTCAGCAAATGAAGGTCCTGAAAGTTTGACTCCATCTACATCATTACAGTCACCTCTACTTTGAGGAGACAGCTTTTCCCCAGATGTGTTTTGAGTGCCTTCCAACCTGGGGGACTCATCTTCCGGCACTATATCAGACAATGTTCTGTTGCTGTTCATAACGTTTTCACTGGCCAATTTTTTTATAAGTAGATCATCAGGTCCTTCTTCCTAGTCTGTCTTAGTCCGGAAGCTACGCTGAAACCTATCCTTCATGGGTGACCCTGCTAGTATTTGAAATACCACTGGCATAGCTGCCAGATCATGTGGTGGGTAAGCACATTATATTTTGATTTTTTAGTGTTTAATAATGATCCTAAGCAGAATTCTCTACTTGTTTCTTAAATGAACACAAAAATATACAATCCTAATAAGAAAAAACTGCATACTATGGCACTCAGTAGTTGAAAGTGATGTGGCAAACCTGCTGATGTCAGCTGTACAGACTTCATTATTTAAAAAAAATTAATAAAACTATCAAGAACATGCCAACAATCTGGTGCCATCTCCTCAATTACCTGTTTTGCTGTCCTATTGCCCAGTTCATCTGCAATCTTCTGCCAGCGCCGTGATTCTACTTCTTCAGGGGGGTATTTCAGGAGTAGCTGTTCAAGCTTTTTCTAAGCCAAACCAAAGACCACATTTAAGAAAGTAAGTATTCAATTTGAAATACTGAGTTTCTACATAAATACATTTAATTTCATTGCAAAGTACAACTCCCCCCCTCCCCAACTCTGAGTATTAGGGTAACTGGAAATCCTCATGGTAGGAAAATTTCTAGCTAGAAAATTAAGACTTCACAGGTAAAATGAGATTAGAGAATAAACCTATGAAAAGATTTTCTATTCCATTAAGTAGAAAGAGAGCACATTAAAACAAAAAATAAATAAACTGATATTTTACACATCTTAGTGATTTCCACTAACCATCTTTGCTTGCTAGAAATGTCTAGGCTCTCCCCTATAGTTTTGACAAAAACATGTATAAATTCATTTGGATTTAGACAGAATACTAAACGAGGTTTTTCCCTCCTTTGTGCAGTCCTCCATTCAAGTATTTGATTTTAATATTCTGACCTACCTCCCAAGTTCTCGTACAGTCCTAGAGGCATAAAGTAATCTGCATGCTTGAAATAAAGGTTTCCTAAAGCCTTTTATAGACTGCTTAGCTTATTATAGCTGTTGGGTTACAGAAACGTGTCTCAAAACTCATCCGAAACAATTCTAGCTATATGCCGGAATGTAACAGAACACTCTGACCTGGCTCCAACAGTTCCCCCAACAACAAAAACAAGAACGTACTTTGAGGCTCAGATTTACTTGACCTCATGTTTTTCTCTCTCCCAAAGTTGCACCACAAAAACATCCACTCTATTCCATCTCTTTTACTACTTTTTCCTACTGCCGTCCCCAAACCCGGGTTCCTTCTTTAAAAATTATCCCCAAACAGGAGTTCATATATTTTCAAAATTTAAAATACTTGAAGTGTGCAAAAATCTATATAGAAATAAGTCTGAATATTTTAAATTTATAAAAGAGGAATCCATGGTTAAGAGGGATTACATACAACAATATGTGTTTTACTCGTAATACTGACTCTAATATTAAGAAGTTTTTACTTTCTTAACCTATGCAATTTAGAAATATCTATTACCTGTTCTTCTACAGTCCACAACTGGTTAAATGTTTCAGGTTTGGTATCATCACACAGGCGTCCTCTTATCATCTGTGTATAAAACAAGGCTTTTGTCAAAGAGAATATAACAAAGACTACCCTTTGATATAGCCAAATAATAAACAAATTGTGTAATTTTTTATTAATTTCAAAATATTTTAGTAAATTTATTTTTTTAATGTATAAATGTTTTATTGGTTACAAAATGCTTTCACATTCCTATGTTTCATTTGGTCTTATCTTCCCAGCAATCCTGTGATATAGATGACAGTAACTTCATTAAAAAAAAAAAAAGGAAATGTGGGTTCAGAATGGAAAAGTAACACACCTACTGAGGTTCATCTAAGAGTGGGAACGGCAGGACTCAAGTCTTAGCCACACTCTACTATATACTAAGAGCTATTGTTTTTAGAGTAACTAATAGGTGTTAGAGAATGTACTAGACACATAGCATATACTATTCATTCAATCCTCTCAACATCCTACAACATAGGTAACATTAATTTCATTTTATATAAGAGGAAAGTGCAGTTTGGAGACTTTAACCTAAGTAGTATCCTAAAATTCTACATCTATTAAGTGGTAAAGTTGGGATTACAACCCAGGCTTCTCAGAACTTCCAAGTTCATGCCCCTACTATCTTCCAGTGAAAGACTAATTTTAAGAACACACACCAGCAAAATGTGAAAAAGTTTTGTCTACAATTCAAAATTTCCTACTCCAGCACTGAATAGTACATACCTGAGGACGACTGTTTGAGCCTTCTGGACCATCACTCAAAGGCAACACAGAGTATGAAAGGGACTCCCCATCCTTCTTAGGATCTAAAGGACTTTTTGGTCTAGCAGGTAAACCTACTAAAAACAAGGCCAGGTACAGAATTATTAAAGTAAGACACTGCCAGACATTTCTCTACTTAAAATTCTTATCATGCAATTTCTTACCTTTATCAAAAACTAATTTAACTCTCCTAGTATGTCTTTTGCGGTTTTTAAATTCTCTTTCAAAGTTCCCAAGGCTATTAGTATATTGGTCCCATGAAATATCAGGTAACTGAACAACTCTCTGTGGATATGGAAGCCCTATATCAGCCTGGGGGGAAAAAAAAGTTATGTCTTGATTAATTCAAGAAATAATCAACTACAGTCAAATTTTCCTTTGACTTCAAAACCAAATAATCAGCTGGGCATTTCTATAAACTGTTTGAATCCAACAGTCAATATAGCTACGATAATACAGCCTAAACATTAAAATGGCAAAGATAGCAAGTAGAAGAAGAATGAATTTGGCAAAACACAGGCACTACATTTAGACAGGGTTCTAAAGCTGCATTATAACTTTAAACATAAATATCAAAAGAACATACACACTTATCTCTAAGAACAGCATATGAAATGTGTTTGATTGTAAGAGATGAGACTTGATACAGAGAATCCATCTGAAATGTACCCCCATGTTCATGACTTATGCATAAAATGATAATTATTTCCAGAATCCATAAGCCCTTACCACATTTATAAAAAAATTATGACATTCTGAGAATGAAAATTACACCTTTAATTTATTTGGAATTCAGTTACTTTACCAACCATCCTTAGAGAAGTCATTAATTGTCATAATTAGTAAAACAAGCTTATATAATAACCTATATTTTTGATAGGGATTCAAGTTATACAGCTGTGTATGTATTTGTCAAAACTCATGGAATGGTACAATTAGGATTTGTGAATCTCATCATATGTAAATTTCACTCTCAAAAAAAGAAAGTTTAAAAAAGAAGTTTAGTTAACGATATGCATGTTGAAGTGTTTTGTGTGAAGTATATACGATGGCAGCAACTTTGAAACGCATCAAAAATTAAGATGGAATCATGGATGGATAGAAGGATTAACAGATATATGATAAAGCAAATACACTAAAATGTTAATTGTACAATCTCGTTGGTAGATATATGTGTTAACTGTACAACACTTTCAACTTTTCTGTGTTTAAAGATTTTCAAATGAAATGGGGGGGGGAATCAGACTATAAATTTTGAAACTGGCAAGCTAAAGCTATTTTGTGACAAAAAACTGTAATTCTTATTTTACTTTATATTACATCATCATGATAATAATAACACATAATCTAAGGCTCAACTTTCTCAAAATTAGAGGATACTGTCTTTTAAAATAATAATGATAATATTAAACAAAACTAGCAAATCATAAATATTCCCTGCATTCTACATACCAATATATACCACAAATTTCATTAATTTCAATTGGGAGTTTTTAGATGCCTACTAAATCAAATACATCACAAGTCAACAACTTAACTAATATGGTAAACCTAAAGAAAAAAGGAAAATTAAGTATGTGTGAGTAAACACAGTAAAATGAAGAATCAAACTTTTGAATTAAATTCAGTAGAAATATTTCTGGCCAACAAATATGTCTTCAATAGTTATTAAAGAATCTAGATTTAATATACTTCTGAACATTTTTATAAAAAATTCTTAAGATGGTCAATAACATATCTCTGTTTCTATGATGAAGGGAAAAGGAAATTCAGTTCTAAACTAAATCCAGAAATGGAGAATAAGCAAACAACCCACTGCCTACAAATCTAGTAAATGTGCCTAAGTGCATCATTTTGCCTACTCAGACACATAAATGAAATTAAGGTTAATAAATTTTTTATTAGTATCTACTATTCTCACAGCATCTGTTTTATTTGAATCAATTATAAGTGAGACATGCTTATCTTTTTGCACCAACAAATTGGTTAATAACAGCAATGCAGAATCAGTGAACACCTAAGTGGGCCCATTTTAGCAGAGAAGGTACAACAGGGTTCTAAATATTTTAGAAGTTTTAACAAATTAATATATAAGATTCTACATCTGTTATAGTATTCAGTGTTTTCTGAAAGCATGAAGAGAAATGTTTGCCAAGTAAATAATATCACTAGAAAAATCCAAATAATAAATTAATAAATTAATACACCTAAATAAGGTCCCCAGGGCTGCTCCTCTGAGTACCTGGAGACCATTGCTGTGATTCATTAAAAACAGGTAACTTATAAAGATCCTAAAGTTGTCATATTATATAAGACAAGTCTTTTAAAAGGCAAAGAAGAGGATTCTTTTCCATAGTGTTTTAGTTTTACTCTTTTCACATAATGCTGATAAATATTATGCCTCTCAAATTTATTAAGGAATTGGTGAGTCACTAATTTGAGAGGCTTACTATAGCACATCTGGATCAACTCAATATTTACATACCAAGAAAATTACTATAAAAACTTGTATTAGTTTTAAATGGTTAACATGCAAATTCTATTCTAAGAAAAACAGATAATTAGGAGGACTTTTCATAGAGAAAAAGGTGCGGGGGCATTCAAAATTAAGTAAAATTTATACTTCTTCCTGATGGATTCTGTCTACTGCAACAAGACACTTAAAATAGATTTTCTGTTTTTTATCACCATTGTTTTCTATCTCAATATGTTGATCTCTAAAAGTAATCAGAAACAACTGCAGATAATAAATCATAAAGTATTTTTTCTTTTAGCTTTACTACTCCTGAAGTCCTGAAAGCAGAAGAGGGAAAACACCCTAAGCTGGGAAAGATAACCATAAAAGAAAAGAAAATGTCTAGGGAATAGGATATCAAGGTCCTATACAAATATCCTATAAAAGCTCTTAGCCTCTTCCTTTGGTATATTTTATTGTGTGTTCCGTGGGCCTGGGAGAAGGCAGTAACTTGCCTTCAGTAACATGGCTAACTACAGAAGGGGAAAAAATTAAACTTTTAAAAAAGTATATACCCATATAAAAAGAATAAACCAAATTCTCTAAATTATTACCAAATATATCTGAATAAATCTTAGAAAGTGTTCAACGTATACCTTCTTCTGGAGTTTTTCCACAAATCCAATCGGATTTCTTAGCGCGTCCCTCTGGTGTCTGCCTAAACTTTCCAGGTCTTGAACTGCTTGAGAACGCTGAGCCTCCAGTACAGCGATCGTCTGTAACAGTCTCTGATAACTACAGAGACAGAGAAAAATATCTCACTAAAATCATCTAGTAATAACAATTAATAAAAACTGACTTCAAGCCATGATCTACTATTAAGTCACACAGTCTTTTTAAAGTTACCTGAAAGAGTTTAGTAAAATTATTACTGGGAATAAATGAGGTCTTCTTGAGTTATGAAGTACCTAGTCAGAAAATATCAGTTAGAGAAAGCAAAGCCTTCTTCCCCCGTTTTAAGTTTCTAGTTCTTGAACCTGAACGAATACAAATAATAAAAAAAGCATCTGGACTTCCCAACAATCAGTCATTAAGAAACTAAGTCTTTTTATTTTAAATCATAAAAGTTTAGTGCTAGGAGGGATCAATAAGCCCTGGTGGCACAATGGTTAAGTGCTCCACTGCTAACTGAAAAGTAGGCAGTTTCAACACACTAGCATGGGAGCAAGACCTGGTGATTATAGCCTAGGAAACCCTACAGGTATTTCTGCTCTGTCCTGTAGGGTCGCTATGAGTTGGAATTGACTCAATGGCACACAACAATAACAGAACGAATTATCAAATCCATCCTCTCTCTTAGATTCTCTACGAATAAACAACCTGCAGCACATTTTCTTGCCCAGAGTCACAAGACACTGTCACATAGTTCAGACACGGTTTTAAAGTCTTAGGACTTTCATTTGCTCTTTCTGTTATACCTCCTAGTGTAAAGGAGGTTCACTTTCCTTCAACAAATTTTTTTTCAGTTAGCATTTAAAATAAATGTTCGATTCTTAGGTATTGAGCCTTTATAGAGAGGAAAGGTCTCACATATTTTTTTACTTCCCTGACTGCAGTGGTCCATTTGGCAAATAGCATATAGTTTCACCTACATAAATCTATTTGTCATTATCGTGAAATCTCACCATGATACATACATACTAATTCCCTCTTTTTTTATGTTTTATATGAAATTGTCTTGCCTTGCTGACTAATGTCTATCACATATAGAAACTTGTTAACCCAAAGCCATAAATGCTCAAATACGCTTTGCAAAAGGAATCATGAAGAAGTGATTATTCATAAAGCAATTTTTCTATGTGGCTTCAAACAAATCTCATTCTGTTTTCCACTACACTGTAAACTCCCCGATGGCAGACACATCTGTTTTGTTCACTGTTTATCCAGTTTGCAACACAGTTCCCAACATATAGATGCTCAATAAGGATTTCTGAATGAATTACAAATAAATGGATGCTCTGTGCAATCAAAAAGTATACTGAATCCTTTAAGTTCAGAAGTCAGCGTACTAGGAGAAATTTCAAAGGTGAAACAATGCAATTTTGAGGTTCACAGCCACAATGTAATTGTGACATTAACATTCACTATCAGCACACTTTCTCAAGCCCCTGCCTAGCACGTATCTTATTCTTGTTCTCAAGTCCCTTGTTAACTAATCCCTGATGAGATGTTTAATAATTAAGGTGAAAACTGATTAACACTGAAGGGTTAGACTCCTCTCAAGCTAGGGACATTTCATTTAAAAGTTAGAACCCTAAATGTGGAGAGCTAGGGCTGTAGAAAAAGTCACTCCAGGATAAATTACAGAAGTTAAGTCTAAGCTCACTTTCACTAAGACTCCTTTTGCTTTGAGGTGTATGGTGTGTACAAACTCTGCTTCTGCTGGCTGTTTCTACTAGGCAGGCTCACAAAGGATAAATATGGAGGCGACAGTAGTAAAGCTGGGTGCTGGAAGTGATCCTCTCTACAATACTCTTGACTGCTTCCAGCTGAATAACCAAAGACTTGTTGTGTTTCTGTAACACGATCAACCTTGTTTTAATCATGGGTTACACACTTCTGTACCATTGATACAAAAAGAATTCTAAGTCTACTAAATTCTCAGCACAGGTAAGAAGACTGTTATTAAAAAGTGAGCTGAAGTTTGCAAAAAATGTTACTGTCGGTAACAAAGCTGGTTGTCCTTTGTTATGTCTGGAGCAAACTGAGAGTGGCGAGAAAAGGCCTCTATCTGAAACCAATAAACTATAACAATCTTACTGTATGTAAGTTATTACACTATAAATCTGACTAAAAAAATAACTCCAATAGAAATGAAAGAGGAAGAATATCTCATCAACACCTATTTTGCTTCTCTTTTGTCAAGATTAAATGATCATCAGATTGAAAGGCCTAGGACAAACATTGGTAAAGACTTAAATCCCAGAATTTAAGTGGAAAGATTATATGAAAATAATAAATTCGAGTCTTCTATCCCAGATAATCTGAATTATTTCCAAGAGTACTCAGAGATTTTACCACTAAGATTTATATATATATCTTGCAAAAATAGAAGGAATTATTTAAAAAACTTAAAAAGTAGTATGATACAGACAAATCTATTTTCAATCTCACCCACCTACTCATCCCACCTCCAAAAGCAAACTACAGAATCTGATCTAGGCATCAACCCAAGGCAAGACTCATTTGTTCACTGATTCAACAATTATTTACTAAAAGAACAGGGCACTATTCTAAAAGCTTTAGTAATTTCCATGATAAATCACATGAGCTTAGGTATAACAGGGGAGCTACAATTACACCAGAGGGGGAGAAAAGGAACAGGATGGGAATGTGAACGGGACAGAATTCGCCATGTTGTTGGGACTGGTTGGTGGGTATATGAAAGTTCATTATACTAGTCTGTCTACAATTTTTGTATGTTTGAAATTCTCCATAATCATTTTTTAAAAAAAAAAAAACTCAACTTCTGTCCAACTTAATGGGGTGGGGGAGAGCTACAACAAAAGAAGTGACCGTTCTACTACTCCTGGGCTGGTCAGATCATACCTGCCACTGTATTCAGCTCAGCTTTGCAAGAGATGAACAGGTTCATAAACAGAGCAGATGGATAACTATGTAATAGCAATAACTTCTAACACTGAATGTGTACTATATGCCAGGCATTCTTGTATTTTAAGTGTAATAACTCAATCCTCACAATAAATCTATGCAACAAGTAGTATCATTATCCTTATCTTATAGATAAGGAAACCAAAGCACAGATTAATTAACTTGCCAAGATCATACCAGGTATTTATGGTACAGCTGGGATGTGAAAAATAGTTAAAGACTTGAGAATATTTAGCCAACAAAAGAAGGCCTCAAAAAGAATATGATTCCAGTTTTTACTTAATGAACAGGAAATAAACTCACTTTATAGGATATAAAGGCTCAAACCAAGATCAAATTGTGATAGGCACAATATGAATAAAAATCTCCTCTCAGTCAAAATCAATAAAAGATGGTAGGTTAGCACACAATCACCACAGATCTTCATACATACATTTAAAAGAAACTCAAGCACTAGAAATCCTAAAGCTCTTTAATTCCAGAAAAACATGCTACTTTCACTTTTGCTTCTCACTAAACTAAGAGAATAGAATAATTTTTAAAATTCTACATATTTTTGCAAGGATGCAAGTATAATTAGTTTTCCCACATGGACAACTTCATACGAGATCTATCAAAATTACCTGTTGTGTATTTCCAAAGCTGAACCATACACAATGCTAAGAATAGTGAGCTTACCTGTGGCAAGGGATTCTTTATTTTACTTTTGTTTCATGTCATCAACATATAATAAGATAACTTTAGCTTTTATAATACAGAATTATATTTGGCTAAAATATAAACACCTTTCAAGACTATATCTAAGTTATTTTCACTACCTTTCAGTATCCAAGTCCTCTTGAATTCTTTATTCACTTCTGTGAATATAAAAACATTTATATAAAAGACTATATAGATAAAAATGCTGATGTCTGAAAGAGAATATCAAGGAATTAACGATCTAGAAGTTAAATTTTATTATCCAATTTCTAGGCAGAAATATTAGATACACTGTAGCAGTGAGAGAGAGACAGAAGAAAAAAGAAGGGAGATTTTATTTTCAAGTGAACCAGAATCTTTGTCAAGGAATCACATTTCCATTTCTATTGTAACAGCAACTCTAGGATTACATGACATTTGCAATCTTAAAAAACTAATGACGAAATATTTTTAAAAATCTAGATTGGGGTACATTTCTACAAAAAAACTGGCCTAGACTCTTGAAATAGTCATTAAAGACAAAAAAGATGGGAAGTTATTCTAGATCTGGAGTCTACAACCTATGGCTTGCCTTTTTTCATAGAGCTGTACTGGAATATAGCTATGCCCATTTGTTTACATAACGTCTATGGCTGCCTTCGATCTTTTGATACGATACAATGACAGAATGCAGTAGTTACAACAGAAACCATATGACCTGGAAAGTCTAAAATATTTACTATCTAGTCCTTTCAGAAAAAGTCTGCCAAGTCTTGTTCTAGATAAAAGAGACACGTGTAATCTTGATTAGATCTCACAGAAGGGAAAACATCTATACAGGACATTTTGAGGGATAACTGGAAAAATTTAAATATGGACTGTGGATTAAGTCATTTTATTATATTAGTGTTAAATTGCTGGGGTGTGATAACAGTATTTAAGAATATATAGGAGAATGTCCCTTTTTTAGGAGACATATATATACTAAAGTATAAAGGCAACAAATGATATCTACACTTACTCTCAAATGGCTCAACAACTAGAAAAGTATTGAGGAGAGAGGGAAGAGAGGAAAGGTACAAGGGGAGTGACAAATGTTATAAAATGTTAATAACTGATGAATTTAAGTGAAGGGTATACAGATGCTCATCATACCATTCTTTTAATTTTTCTAAGTTTTCTAATTTTCCTAAATAAAAACACTAAGAAATGAAGAAGCTATTCGTTATACTTGTGTGTGTGTGTGTGTGTGTGTGAGTCCACATGTATACATATACGCACTGGTGAACAAAAAGAAACAGGGAAGAGTAAGATATATGTTGAATTTCCTTCTCAAGAGGACAAAACTATGTAAAGTGGATTGATTCTTAGAAGAATAACAACCAGGGCATTTTAACACTAAAATTCCCTAGTAATTCATCATTTTAAAACAATTTGAGGAAAAA